GGTTTGATGTGTTTGAACTTTGCGAATCGGCAAAAAATTCTTTTTAATATTCATTTTCTGCCACCATAATTTAAGTAATTAAAATTTCTACTTTTTGAGATCGCTAATTCACTTTATTCATTACTTTGGATAAAATTTAGGTCTTTGCACAGTGTAGTTGCCAAATTGCGGTATGACAGTAATTGCTAACAGACCAAAACGAGTCTTACAAGTAATAACAAGTTTTGACCACTAATTTCTGACAAATCGTTTTTAAGAGAGCCATGTACGCCATAAATCGCCAAAGTAAACATGCAGTTGGTTACAATATGTTTATCTAAGCGATGCAAGTCTGAAACTTTTGCCAACCACTTTCGAAGATTTGGCGTAACAACTACTTATGACCTGAGTTTCAAGCAGATACACAGGTGTTCACAACTCTTCTGTTCTGTTACGTTTTAACAATCATTGTTATATGCATATCCAGTGATTTATTATGGTAAGAACAATCACGCAAAATATGTCCATTAGCAGGTGAATAGGGATACGTGAACTACCATCTCCATCCCATCAAGGCAGCACATACCCGACAACTCGCAGTCTCACGCACGACGCTGTGTTATCGCTGATTTAAATGAATTTTATTGAGCAACACCAAAGCTTGCACCTTCTAATCCATCATCTATTTGTTATTTTTACGCGCTTTGCAAATTGGATCCTCCATAAAGTGCTTATTACGCATCTTCCGTAGGGCGTAGAGCAAGCATTACCAAATAAAGAGCTTAGTATCAGAATAGGAGAAAAAGTCAACCATATTGAAGTGCTGAGGTAGATTGACTTTGTGTTTCCAAAAATTGAACTCGATACTGACTCCCTTGTTTGTCCTATTGGCAAGTTTTGTGTGTTGTGAGTGTAATGCTCTGTTTATGTGACTACCTGATGTTCGGCGGTCACTTTAATGTGTCTGGTTCTTGTACTTGTAAGCTGGCCTTCGGACCACACTCGGGTTGAGCAACCTTGTTCTCTTTGAAATGCAAGTATCCAGCTTCACCTACTGCCTTCGTCCACTTTGTGAGAAGCCTCGGGACGCTACAGTGAGCAATTAAGTTGAAAATCACTATCGGTGTCCCGAGGCTTCCCACAAGGTATAAGGAGGCATGGATTGGATCTGAATGCATGTATGTTAATGAGAAAAGGGGAGAGATCTGGCTCTGGCTTAACCCGAAGACCAGCTCACGCCTACAAGAGCAAGATAAATACCAACGTGAATGCCAGTCATACAGGTAGACAGATAAGCAGGGTATTACTTTTGGCTTTGGTACTTTCAGAGGAAGTAGGAGCTCCGTTTGGCAGCCACTGTTTCCGTCGCTTGCTTCTGCCAAAGCCCTACCTGTATATTTTCTCTCCTAGTGTAAACATTCATCCGCACCTATCAACTTACTTTTCTAGAATTCATCAAAATTTAAACTGGATATATTTGAGTGGTTACATGTCTTCAGAAAAAGTTTGTATTTTTATCGACTCTAATGCATGCTGAGTTGTTTGAATGTGGCCCGTAGGCTGGAGGCGGGACATAGATTTGAGCACCTTACGATAGAAGCTGCCTTGCCATAGGTACCATCTTCCCTCCGTCCTGTACTGCCACTCAAAATGCGTACCAAATGCCCAATAAACTCCACACAAGCAAGCGGCCTCCTGAGTAGGCACTCGGAAAACACTCAACTGATAGCAAAGAAGAGGCCTATTGGACCTCCGCCACCGCCAACGTTCTCAGATGCTTCCCCAGGAGACGATTTGCTCACAAACGTTTGAATTTGCATCCAAAGAGAGGTCTAGAAACTAGTGTTTTTGGCATAAGGGCCTCCATAGATAGCAGAAGACATAAGCTCTGAATTGCCTGAATAACAAAAAGTTAATTTGAATGGAAAGCAAGAGAACGGGGTTAAAAAGGTGCGAAAAAATAAAACAAAATTACAATGCAGCATTTATTTGATTGTCTGTAGGGGTGGCAATCTCTTCAGCGACCTACGGAATTCCATTAGGTGGGCTGGCCTTCAGGTCATGCCAAAGCTCTCCCCTACCGTTTCTGAGGCCATACTAGAATTCAACCGTATCTCGTGCCTTCTATTAAGAAATGGGAAATCTCGGGCCGCCATAGAAACGGCCTAAGGGCCAGCTACACAGCGGAAGCAAAATAGCCATTAAAGAGACCGAAACAAATGCAGACATCTAAACTAAAAAGTAGTACATCTCAACTCTACTTTTGAATAACCCCTTAAGCGCTCCTCTAGGTGATACTTCCGTTCTAGCAGTCATAATGTAATCAGCACTGCAAAATTGCACCCATGAAACAACCACACCAGTCATCAGCTCACAGGCGACTGAATGAATGTACTTGGCCCTCTCAGTAGCTTCAACTGAACCTAGAGCTTCATGCAGCCTATAAGTTAAAATTAAGAGACGGGAGGTTTTGTTAATTACTGCGTGAGGTAATGGCCAGGCGTTAGAACATTTGACTAAAACAGAAGAGCATTGAGGTAAACAAGGTCTAATACATCTCCCCGTGAAAGGGACTCGTGAAATTCGTAATGCTGACATCATCTATACGCGGATGCGATAAGAGAAATAATAAAATATGGCTTTACCAGATGGTTTGCGACGGAATTATTAAAGCTGTCAATAACTTGCTTGCGAATAAATGAGTATAAGACACATGTTGCAGACTTACACTAGTCGCAGCACATGTATTGCAGAGAAATCAAAGGTTTCTTCACCCAATGCTCATGTAAAACATACGCGTCCCAAAATTTGTCATTAATGGTGGATACCTAACATCTATTTCCCCCCTTCTTCATTCTTAATCTCAGCCTTCTTATAAAGGGGATAGTTTGAAGTTGATTTATTGGGTATTGTTATGTTAGTGCAGTCAGCAGGAGTATTGTTACACCGAACATATACAGGCCGGTCCCGCAAATGACCCTCATACTCGAGATGTGCGGCGTCTGTTTTGAACTCGCCTCCCTCCTACGAAGAACAATTCACCCAATCAATATGGAAACTGAGACAGAAGAAGTTCAGCAGTGGGGTCTGCTTCCGCTGCCACCAATGTAGGTTCTAATGTAATACCTTGTTTAACTGACCATCTTGTGCCTGGAAGTTACTTTGAGACCTAACTGATCCTTGTACGGTTGGGCTGGCCTTTGGGACCAAGCTCAGGCGTAATTCCTTTGTTCTACCCGAAATGCACGTATTTAGCTCCAATTAGTGCCCTCTTCTACACAATACGAAGCTTCGAGAAGCTACACTGGGGACTTTTATTTGGTTACTGAGGGCAAAAGAGGTAGAATAAGTAAAATATTATAACGCATGCAACAGGTCCAAAGTTTAGGTACTAATAAATCAATTTCTTTCCCACATTTGGTAGATTATCGCCTTCACTATCTTCGCTAAGTACAACATACATTTCTGCTGGTCATTAAAGACCCATGCTGTTACAACAAGTTGATCAACTTGGATGTTGCGATGAAGAAGAAATGGGACAGCTACACACCGTTATTAGCCACTCGCAATACATGCATCGAAGTAACACTAACGCACCAGATTTAAAGTGTACGTTTTAATTATATTGCTTCTTCATGGCTGCTTAATATATAATCTCTTAAATTTTCGCCCGAATTATTTGCCTGAAGACATGGATGTTTGAATTTCGTTGATCAGACTTTCTATATTTGCAAAAGTAAAGAATTCTACTTAGTGTTTTTAATAATGCATTGGGAGGAAGTAGACAGGCTTTTTTAAGCAAAAACTTTTTAGTAACATATTCAAAATCTTGCCTTGTTTTAGTGCGCTGCTCGGCAGAAACTTTCGATTCTGTATTTACCGCTCCAGACTCATTCGCCGGCCTCATTCTTTTGTAATGGTACGTTTGGTTTCCTCGTGAATTTTCTTTCAGTTGCTTTAACCTTATGGTAGCTATAACTTTCGTTAATTTTGTCCCTAGGCTGATCAACTTACAGAAGAACAGATCGCAGAGTTTAAGGAGGCGTTTTCCTTATTTGACAAGGATGGTGACGGGACAATCACTACAAAGGAACTAGGGACTGTCATGAGGTCGTTAGGTCAAAATCCGACAGAGTCTGAGTTGCAAGACATGATAAATGAAGTAGATGCGGATGGTTTGTTTCTTGCTAATGTACTATCATGTTCACAGGCAATGGGACGATCGATTTTCCTGAGTTCCTTACGATGATGGCCAGAAAAATGAAGGATACCGACAGCGAGGAGGAAATCCGAGAAGCTTTCCGTGTGTTCGACAAGGACGGCAACGGTCTAATCTCCGCTGCGGAGTTACGGTATGCGCGCGATTGCTCTTCATTTTTAGGCATGTTATGACAAACCTCGGCGAAAAGCTGACTGACGAGGAGGTTGATGAAATGATCCGTGAAGCTGATATTGACGGTGACGGTCAAGTGAACTATGAGGGTAAGTAATGTCTGCATGTCTTTATTTTATTGTCCTGGCGTTCCCGTGTCTCATGTCTTCTATTTATGTCCCCTACCCCATCTGTCGTGATCGATGTCGTCTCCGCCAATTTCCTCGACCTGTCAAGAATTCGTCACGATGATGCAGTCGAAGTAACTTCAACCCGTCAAAGTGGAATCAGTTCAACGTATTTTCACGTTATTTGGCGTTGACGAATTCCTCTGACTGTCTTGTTTCTGACGTGTTGATATTTTTCACAAAATGACTTCGTGTTATCATTCCGTGCTCAAGCAGCTGAACAAACGTTTATGTTATATATCTAGATACATGCAACAAACTGCGATTGTAAGACTCGCTTTTGAGCTTGCGGTTCTATAATTCTCACATTTGGCATATCACAACTGAGCACCATAAAGCCCCAGTAAAACTATGTACTCCCTCCACTTTCTTTGTGCTAGCTCAAGATCTTGACTGTTGCTTAGACGACGGTTGAGCTGTATATTTCTCTGTTGATGTCATAACTTGACTATTCTCCAAGAAAAGTAGTAAAGTTAGCTTTCCCTACGTGAAGTGTGGCAGGAGAGCGTTCTAGGGTGCTTCCATGGTAAATGGCATTGTGTACTCAATGCCGATGTTGATCTCTTGTGAGTTTTGACTTGCTGTCCCGGTGGTCGGTAGTACTTTTCAGGGATATCGATGCGTTGTCCAAGTCGTGTCTCGATGTTGTCTGTGGTTCCTCGTCCGTTCTTGACGAATGCTGGAGATATGACGCATTTGCCTCTTTTAGAGTTCGTTACTATGATGACGACGAAGTAGTCCACGTCTTCAACTCATGTACCATCAAGTCGATGTGACATTCACTTTTTTCTTTCCATTTAACCGCGTCCGCTTATCGTTCCTCGCACCTTCCGTTGCATGGGTTCTTTGAGAACATTTTTATCACTTATTTGCTTACTGATATCGACCACTGGACCCGCGAAGGGGCCAGATCCCTGGTTATGATGTGTGATCTGTTCCCATTTATCCCTAATTTTCCGCCTCCACTGTACATTTCCGTCGCAAACGAACCTACCTAAGTAGATCCCACAGTAAGGTTTTGTGTTTAGTGGTCCTTACCAGCATCAATGGCTTTTCCACGTATCCCTCCATCAAGTCATCAACCTCTCATCTTTAGAAGTCCACTCGGAAATTTGCTTTTGCTGATGCGTAGCAGTGGAGATGAGCCCATAGGATGAGTGGTTGACCTGTCTTTACCCTCTTTCCTCATCCATCTCAAAATCTGTCTCCAATTTATTTAACCCATCCTTGGCTGCGACAGTTTCTTGCTGTGCGAAGCATGGATTAAATACCGGCTGCCAATGGCAACATTCAAATATATTATTCTTTACGTACACGATATGCTGTCTTTTCATTAGTGGCCTTTTATACGGGGTTAACGCTCTTATGAATCAGTCTCAAAATGTCACGAGGGTGTGCTTAATGCAAGTCGGCTGGAGCCACGGATCTATTTTAGGGTTTCTGTGGGTATTTGGGCGTGATTTTCTACATTTTTAGTTTCAGTCGTTCAGGCAATCACTCATTGACGTGATGAAGGCTCTTGATGTTTACTGCGTTGGTGTCTCTAGTCGCGGTCTCGGCATCTTGTGGGTCGTGAAAACCTGCCATTGAAGGTTCAAGTGCGGTGGAGCTCGCTACAACTGTTGCAATCGTTCGTTTTCATTTCCAAGTCCCCGGAAATAAGTTTCGTGGTTGAAATGACGGTACGGTGTTAAATGGATCTGTTTTCCATGATAGAGGGTCAGCAGGGTCTGTTTACATGCGCCAATACAGTGTTTATTTTCTAATCGCGTTCACACTCATAAATTTTCATCAAGAAGCACCCTCGGTGATTGGCTTGGAAGGGGCTTCTATCCAAGTTCACCATTCAGAGGCTGGTGACTCGATCTTGGCCGTTGCCTTTTCCACCGATACCTGTGTGGACGAAGTTCTACCAGCAATTTTTGGGAGAGGTCAGCGATTTTTCAGGCATTAGAGGAGGAGTGCAAGTAGCGGGCGTGTCCACTGACAGGTAAAGGATCGAATAAGGGGTATGGACGACGATTTATCCAGTCTAATGGTATTCCAAGTTGTCGCTTAATTTAGTCCGCTCTCATTCTCGATGGCTCCTGCCGCTGCCTCCACTTGGTCGGTTGGGATAGGATGGGCAACGCCTAGCTCTGCTTTTATCCTAATTGCTAGCCCATCTCTTCCAAGGTTTCAAGCCCTGCCGTCAAATTCACACTAGTCTAATGGGTGTTTTTAATATCTGGGAATGTTCTGGGGACCTTTGAGTAACTGCCCTGGTGTCGCACGTTGCGTTGATGATGCAGTATGCAAAGCGTTTGGAGAGACTCTGTGAAGGAGATGAATGAAGAGGATGAAAGTGCTCTGAGGAAGTTTATAGGTTAAAAGCTTGCATGTGATGCTATCAGGCCAATTAGAGGTGAAACCCGCATGGTGATACGCATCGTGAGTTACAGAGAATTCTGGTGTCAAATTTCATTATGATTACAGCTGTAACAATGATGTGATTAGAGTTCGATTCCGAGGGCAACATGTGGATTGTGACGTTAGGTGAGTTGGTTCAACTGGAATTTTGCTAAGTTTGTGTGTTGGGCTATGATTTGCAATTTTTTATTGCATTAGAGCATTTTGCATCATCATCATTGAGGCAGTATGGGGACCTGTTGAGAGGACGAAAGAGGAGAGATTAAGTGAAGATCTTGCATCAGTAAGGTTTGATTATAGTGATGAGGTTCTGTGTGATCACGGGAAGGTTTAAATCTACTTGATTTTTGTTACAGCCAACAGCTATCAGTTGGTTGCGGAGTCGCAGAAGCTGATTACTGAACCAACTAACTGAGGCTACTGTGATAGTTTGAACTGGCTAAAAGTTGAATAATTTAGCATTCTCTGATGAGATTCGCGTCAGGGGAATCACAGCATGTCCTTAGTCTTTTTGCAGTACGTACATGTGTCCCAAATCTATTGGCTGGCGTGATGCATGGACTCTGTTTAGTAGGGGAGGGCGTAAGCGAGCTCCAATGCAAGGTATCCGTTTGTATAATTAAGGGATAACAAGCTTGAGTGGCTTGTCAAATTGTATGAGGGGGTGGGTCCTCCAGCTACCTCTCCTCTTGCATGGAAAGCTGAAACACCCAATCCTGAGCATAAGAAAAAGAGCAAATTCCTTCAGGGTCGGTTGTGCACGCGGCCACATCTCCTTTTGATTGGGTGTTTATTTTTCAGCATCTACCAAAATTTGCAGTGAAATGCAAAAAGAAAATAGCATAAGGCGTCGTCTCTTCAATCCATCAACAATGCTCATAATAGCCGTATAGTGTCGAGGAGTCTGCGGATCCGAAATCGGCTTGTACTGAATATAGAAAAGGAGAGTATTTTATTCCACTCCTTCCTGTTTCTTTTGAGAGAATTAATGTAAACAAACGATAACTATCCCAGAGCCTCCGACATAAAGTCAACAGCGACCTGTCATCCTTACCTTCAACTTTGACGCCTCTTCTGGAAAGTGGGTTTCAACTGTGCCTAAAGGCATGATCGCGCTTCCAATTGAGAGGTCACAACTTTTCTATTTTGTTGAAATAAAAGTACTGCATTGTCGAATAGTGTAGCAGCTCGGATGCTAGAAATCTTAAATTTCAGATATAAGCTGGTATGAGTTTTCAATGGGGTGCATCGACTCCAAATGGCAATTGGATTGCCTAAGTTATAGATGCGAAAATTTGAGCTTAATCCTTCTTTTTTATTTTATGATAAAATCAGTCTTTATGTTAACCGTCTCTCCATCTGAATGAGAGAGTTGGGTGTTCAGAGACGTCTGATTTTTCTTCCTTCCCATCCATTAGTGTAAAGTGGAAGTTATTAAGATATCTGAAAACTGCACTTCTTGATGATGGACAGTTAGGCGACAGATGAAGTCAGAGGTGTACCAATATCCGGCCAGTACTCTCCCAAACAGAATGCTATGCGATCAACCATCACTTTCACGAGGCATGCTTTGACATAACTCCACATTTTATACTTTCGGTGGAATTTTAAGAACCGATATGAATGGGGTAAGCGTCCTTCATGATTGAGACTCTTCTCTAGGCCAACCTACACCTACATTCTCCCCATTTCGCACCTCTCTTATACCGAATGAAAGACCTTTTGATTTGACATACTGCACCTCTTTTAAGCTTTTGACTCTTTCGTCACCATCGTCCAAAGGATGGCTAAAGGTACTTAGGTGAGTTGACAAAGCGCCTTCATCTCTAGGCAAAAGAGGTTGCATTGCAACTTTAAATACTTGATTTGTCTTCTCCGAAGGCAAAGGGGATTACTTATGCGAAACGCGTCGTGTGCCTTGTTAAAAAGTCAATTAAGATGCAGCAGACCTGTGTCGCCAGCCTTAATTTGAAAAATACTTAGGCATTTCCACTCTGAGTCAAAAATCCCACTTAATGCATGATAGGAATGATAATGCTTTTATTTAATTAGACTATTCTTCTTGAGTTCTTTATCAACCTAATCATCTACTTACCGTCTTCCCAAATCTATGTCTTGGCTTAATTAAACGCGATTTTCCCCTCGACCCGATAACTTTCCTTGTCAGTTAAATTTATACCTTCAACGTAAAACGATTCGCCTTTTCACATTTGGT